AAATTTGTAAATTATGACGAAAATACTATTTTAGGACAAATTAAAATCAAATTAAGAGAAATTCGAACAAGATTATTTGAATTTATCAAAATTCGAACAAGTTGATTTGAATTCTTTAAAATTCGAACGAGATGATTTGAAATCATCAAAATTACAAAAATCAGAATAAGAAGATTGGGAATTCAATTGAAATTATCAAAACTAAAATTAAATTAAGAAAAATCTGAAAAGTACCAATTGAAATTATGCAACAGTGAACAAGAGGAGAGAGAAATTGTCGATCTTCAGTTGTCTCCATTGAAATCCCACCTTCAAGTTTTGTAGAGAGAGAAAGAAGAGTATACAAATTATACGTAATTGGGCTGATGTTTTTGTTTTTAAAATCACAGGATCATATATATATATATATATATATATATATATATATATATATATATATATATATATATATATATCAATCAATCAATTACATAATAATAAAGGCAAAACTTAAAGAGACACTTGTTAGCAAATTATTAAAAGTTTTCCCTACAAAATTACTTGCTTAATATAATAAAAATTAATTGTTACATAAAAAGAAGGTTTCTACAATTGTACCAAAATTATGACTTTTACTTTGTATAAAATCTAAAATAAACTTCCTTAAATATCAAATAACCCATTATAAATGTTACATGTGTTAAATTATATTCTTTCGCATATTTTTAATTTTTAAAAAGATATTTCATACTTTTTAATATTAGGTGAATCTGTTCATAATTTTTATAATATATCATTATTTTTGGTCAAATTTATTGTCGTTATAAATATTTAGCAACCGTGTATTGCACGGAGTGTAATCTAGTGTGTATATATATATATTTAGAACGTATTTTAGAGACCTAAAAAGTTAAATGAAAAAAAAAAGAAACAAAGGGAGTACTTGTATTATCTACAAGTAATAATTAGACAATGGAATGAGATTTGAGTGTACCAACCTCCCACTCAATTTTGTTGAATTTTTACCACTCAGTTGCTTCGTTTGATAGTTCGATTAAATTCCAATTTGCAGCCAAATTCCATTAATTTTGCTGTAAGCTTCCTTTATTACCTCTTAGTCTCAACTCTCAAGTTGTGCTTTATGGCATGTTCAGTGTACAACTAATTGTCTTATTAATGTGCTTCCTCGATCATTCATAACTCCATTAGTCATTGTTGATGTAAAAATGCTAATAAGTTAAATGATACCCTTGTTAAAGATAAGAACATACCCGTGGTCCTGCGACAAGCTGACACATGTCCCTAAGCTAAGTGGTCAATGAGCAGCAGTGGCGGAGCCAGGATTTTCCCGGAGGAACGGATTTAGGATGTTATATAATTTGACAATAACCCTTCGGCCATTTAATTTATATTGAGATATATTATAAAATTAATTACCTTCACCCAAAATCCCTACTACAACAAACAATTTGGAGTTGCAATTTGAGCAATTATTAAAAAAAATTATGTAAATTGCTAAGGTAATTTAGAAGTTAGAACATGATTTTATTAAACAATACTATTTCTAGTTAAATCAACTAGCTCGAGAAAGGAACAATTACTTTTGGGTGTTATTGGGGAAATTTTGAAATAGAAATAAGAATAAAAAAAGAATGCTATAGACAAGGATTGAACCTATGACGACATGGAACTCTTGATAAGACATTAACCACTGAACCACCCTTTTTCCTTTAATACTTAGTAGCATACAATTGTATATAACTAATTATATTTTTTAAAAAGGTGGGGGTACAGCCTTGTCCCCACCTGGCTCCGCCAGTGAATGAGCCAATCAGAGCGTGACACATGTCACACAATGATTTCAGAGTAAAAAAAGGCCTCAAGTCCAAAACCCTAGATGCGGTAAAAACGATGGCAGCCTATCTATTTAAGTTAAATAACCTAAAAGGCACGCATTTCCATGCACTATATATACTGTTCATAAATGATTAGTAGACACATTCAATTACATATAATAATATAGCATTTATTACTTTACTCTGGTACTAACTTGATCGTTAGAGGCGAAATTCCGATACACCAGAGCTTTCGTTATTTTGCAGGTGCGGCATACTGAGCGAACTATATATATTCAATGTTGTAACTCTCTCGCATGACATCCAAAAAATCCCAAAACACACATAATCTACCTTGACTAATGTTAGTGAATTTTATATATATATATATATATATATATATATATATATGAAACAATTTAATTTAAAATTCAAAATCAAAATTAATAAAACAAAAAAACAATTATTTTTGAAAAACAGGGTATGCGTGACAGCGCATACTGCCCAGCCATGTCACAGCCACCGTAGTAGCCAGGCTGGAGACCAGCGACCGCAATAGCTAACCGTCATAGCCAGGCAGTAGGCCAGCCACAATAGCCCCGACCGACGCACCCCAGGCAGAAGCCCAATCGCGCTAGCCAGCAGGGGCAGTGACTAAAACCGTGCAACCGTTGCACATTCTAGCCACCGCCCCTTCCCCTAGATAGCTACCCCTTTTTGCCCCGCCCAGGCCATTTTACCATTGGAGCAGCCATCGTGGCCCACCGACAAGTGGCTTTGCCACCCACCCTTCGCGTGGTTGCTCCCACTCATCAACCCATTATTTTATTTAGTTAAAACAATTTCACAACTCTTGCAAAATTAAGTCATTAATCTAATTAAATTAAACATAAACTATTTTACATCTAATTCATAAAATTAATCTAAAATCTCTATTTTAATTAATTTAGAGTTTTCATATAAATTATTCCCTAATTCACGGAAAACTCTTTTATATGAATTAATTAATCATACTTAAACAATCTGTAAATAAGAAAAAATAGATTAAATTATATGAATTTAACACATAAAAATTAGAAAATATTAGGGTTCATAACTCATCAAAATTTTCGAAAAAAATAACTAGGGCTTTAGGGTTCATAATTTTTAACCAGGGTTAGAAGCAAATTTGAGCAATTAAATCTCCATTTAATCAATTCCAATCAAATAAAATCATATTTTAAGTAGGTTATTGGATCCATAATTCAATTCCTCCCATTAATCGAATTAAAATTATCCTTAATCCCATCAAAATAATCATATTATTGTGACCGATAAATTGTATGTGTAGACACCTACTTTTGGCCTCTTGTCCCGAACGAAAGTGGAATGACAATTAAGCACCATTTCTATGTTAGGTCAAAGTGAGGAATTCTAATGGACTACCAATTTAAGCTTAAAAATTAACCAACTAAAGACATTCTTGAGCCCAAACAAATAAACAAGTAACAAAACAAAAGCCAAAACACATAAGCTCCGGTCATAAATTATGCCCAACCCATGTTTAATTTAGGTCTGGGTTAAACCTAATTCCTTAACGAAATTAAGGCGCCTAGGATAAATTTTAGGATGCTGCTAAAGATTCCACGGGCAACTTTAGTAGTTGCGCGCAACAGCCGCACGCAACATTTAAAGTTGCGAGCGACATGGCAGCGCATCTTTCAAAGTTGCTCAGCTCTTCTCAAAGATTTCAGATTTTTTAAAGATTCCGAATCAAATTTTACCATAAAACCGCACGCAAGAATCAAAGTCACACACGTATGTAGCGCGGAACTTCTGAAGTTACTTTCAAGGTTGCGCGCGCCCCCTGCTGCTCCAACACATCATTAACCCTAACCCTAATTATTTCCTTTAAATGGGGGTTAATATTCGAGCTAAGCAGACACAAAAAATCTTAAATAGCGATAAAAATACTTTAGCCATTATTGTTTAATCTTAACCCTTTTTTCCTAAACACTTTAGCCTAATTATTGATTATAAGGGGCTGCTGGAGGTTCTGGAACAAGGAGTCCATAAACATTCTAATTGGCAATCTAGCAAGGAAAAGTGGTAAATTCTCAAGCACTTAATTAAAACCACTTTTATCTTCTTGTTTAAATTAACTTTAATTAAATAATTAGTGTTATTTAATCGCTTTAAATAAACATTAATTAATAAGTCAAAAAAATTTATTTTGGTTTTGGTTAAGAGGTTTAGTATATGTATAAACTCTTAAATAGACCTTGTTCATATTAATTTATTGTGGAACACTAATATTAGAGGTACCATAGTCATTTTATTAATTAAAATTAAAAGGTCACTATGTGAAAATAGAGGTTATTATGTTATAATAAAAGTTATTGTGTTATTATGAAGGTCATATGAGGTTAATTATTTTTTAATGAAAGTTGTAATATACTAGTCATCAATATGAATAACAAAAGGTCAATATATATACTATTAAAATAAGGTCACTATGCTCAACATAATGTCGGCTGATACGTGTGTACTTCATGCAATAATATTAAAGATCACATAAGTTTTTAATAAAGGTAACTATGTTAAAATTAGAATCAATATGTTCATTATAATGTCCGTTGTGCGTGTATAGACCTCAGGTGTACAATGATATTATGTGAAGTAGGTCTACCCAACATTTTTTTTAAGTATACGTGTACCTTCTTGTTAGAATTTTTATATTTTTTTTTATTTTTACAAGTTGAATTATTCTCTTAAAGCATATTGACTAATATGACTATAAATTGAGAAAATACAAGTTTATCACCTTGATAACACATGAGTAGTTTATCACGGTGGCAAATTTGTAAATAAATAACAAAAAAAAAACACTATTTTAGAAAAACCCACTAATAGTGTTAGCAATTTTACCATGAACAGTGTTTTTTGTTTTTTTTTTTTTTCACTATTCATGGTATAACCGCTAACACTAGAGGTTCTACGATGAACAGTGCCAAAAAAAAACACTATTCATGGAAGAACCGCTAATGGTGTTAGCAGTTTTACCATGAATAGTATTTTTTTTATTTTTTTTTTACAAATTTGTCATTTGATATACAACTCATGTTTATCAAGGTGATAAACCGGGCAAACCTCCTATATATTGGACTTAGTCTTATAATATATGAGGTATTATTATCAATACAACAACTTATGGAGATTAAACTTTTACAAAAAATCTCATACAATAGCAATATAATTTAAGGAATCTCATTTTCAAATGAGATTGATAGTGTTCTTATTATTATTGTTATTTATTTATTATTAATTCATGCTAAAAGCATCTTTTCACATTTTGATACATTATAAATGCTATGTGATTATTGGAAAGCTATTGTAATATCCAAATTAGTAAAAGTGCAATCCGGGTAAAGACTTATATACATTAACAATGGAGGACATATCGATCACTAGTGTCATGAAAATGGTTCTTCAGTCTCATGGATGCTTCATATATAGCTTCTTTCGGAGCAAAGGCGCTAATTCGAATGAACTCTTCACCTTTGTAACCAAATCCTCTGCCTGGAACTGTTAATATATGTGTTTTCTCAAGTATCTCATTGAATATATCCCATGATTTCGAGCCTGGAAAATGTACCCAAAGATATGGTGCATTTCTACCACCATACACTTTTAATCCGAATGATGTAAATAATTCTACCATCATTTCCGCATTGTTCATATAATAATTGATTGTAGAGCGTAAGGCCTGCATTAGAAATAAAAGGTGTTAGTACGTAAGTTTAATTTAAAACAATCTGTGATCATCTTGTCACGCTAGATGTTATACCATGTCTAGAGGCCAACTCGATCAACTAAAAGTCTAAACTGATGGTTGAAAACTCGTATATTTTAATCAAATAAAAAAAAAATAAGGAAGTTAAGAAACCTCGTAACCATGAGGAGAAAGGCAAGCTAGTCCACCAGTTTGAGCGACGTTAGAGGCACCATTAAAACAAGTGCATACGATACGATTATAATCATGGATAACAGGGAAGCCATTTGAATAGCATAGATTTTTAGGAACTACTGTCCATCCTAATCTTACTCCTGTAAATCCAGCAAACTTTGAGAAAGAAGATACTTCAATTGCAACCTGCATAACATCATCTTTCTAAAATTAGTCAATTCAAAATAAACATGACATCAATTTATAAAGTTATTTGTAAACAACTCTGATATAAATGGTTTGTTTAACAAAGATTTTTGTAATAATTTAATAATTAGATGTATATCAAATATAGAGAAATCGATTATGTGCAAAAGCAAGTAGCAACAATATTGACACGGTCTTATACAAAATTGTACTCGAAATTAGATAATCTGATTTTGGCCTAAATCAAAATTGACCCAATTGTCAAATAGATAGTTCCTACAATTATCATGACTATAAATTGATACATTTTCCTTATACATAAAATTGTATTCCAAAGTCCAAATTGGACACGTTCATCTATTACATATATCAAATATTGACCATACCTAAAAATTAGTTTGGTAGAAAAAATATATATTTTTCTTGATAATAGATCCAAATTAGGTGAAACTAAATTTTACCCAACGTATAGACCACATTTTCTTAAAATGGACTTTAAATTAATCATTTTACATACAAAGACTATTACATATAGATATGTTGACCTAATCCGAACAGTCCATTTGTCACCTCTAAAATGAATAGAAATAGTTAAAAGAGAAATATTGTATATAAACATACCTCATTAGCACCGGGAATTTCAAAGATCGATCGAGGGCTATCATCCATGATATAAGTAGCATAAGCAGAATCATAAATGATGATTGAGCCATTATTCTTTGCAAAATCAACAAGCTGCTCTAATTCCTTTCTAGAGGCAGCATAGCCTGTTGGATTATTAGGAGAGCAAAAGAAAATGACATTTGTTCTTGGGGTGTTGTTTAAATCCGGAAAGAAATTGTTATCAGGTCCACAACTCATGTACACAATGCTATTGTACTTCCCAGTTCTTTCTTGATAATTGCCTGCTTTGCCCATTATTACACTTGAATCCACATAGGCCTGGTCCACAAAAGAGAGATAAAGACATAATAATCATTTCCATAATTAATAACTATGTATTTTTTCGTTAAAAAAAAAAATGTATTTCGTATCAGATGAAAATAAAAAAAAAACCCCTTGATTTACGTACTCATCTCTAGTGGAATCTAATGCAACACGACGTACTATATATATTAGGTAGATGTATTTTTTTTTTTTTTGGGAAGAGGGGGAGGGGGGGGGGGGGGATGGGTAGCCATAGCTATATTTGTGGATAACTCTATCGTTTATAAGGCTAAGCACACAGAGTATGGGAAAACTTAAGTGGATAGAGCTTCTCTCTCGATCCCAGGAGATTATGGGATCGATTCTTAACCCTGTCCTTATGGCTCTCCAAAAACACACGCCCCAAAAAAAAAAAAAAAGAAAAAAAAAAAAGCCGTTGCACAAGCAAATAATAATTGGATCGTTATTTAAACGGAAAAATCATGTTAGAAAAATGTTACCGGAAATGTAGGGTCTTGTACGGCTACACTTATATTGGATCCCAACAGCATCTATATCACCATCAACAACAAAAAGGCAGAGTCAATGGTATGTGTCAATCAAGAAACAATTTGTTCAATAAGTTAAGAAAAACATGGAGTAAAAAGTTTCTTTGTTTTTTTTTTCTTTTTGTTTTTCTTATCTTGATTAATTAAGAACCACAAAAATAGTAATGTAGACGGAATTCAATTTTAGGAAAATCCTAATGATTTTAATTGGCCAAACCAGTTATTGAGTTCCACACAAAAGAGTTCCACACATTATGAAGCACTGTACTACGTAGTATATTGAATACCTGTAGCCGAGAAATGTCACATTGTGCTCCATCCGATACGAAAATTTCATCACTCGTAATACCCGTATTTTTATAAAATGTTTCAGCAATTGCCTTCTTCAACTCCTGTCATATATGTCCAATCATAATTGGTATTATTTCTAGTGGAAAAAAAAAAAAAAAAAATTGAAAAGATGATTTATCATATGATTTACATGTATCATAATGTAAACGCTAATAGAAAAAAATAAGTACCGTATTGCCTTGTTCTGCTCCGTAGCCACTGTAACCTTCAATAGTTGATAAATCTTGTGCATACTGAAATGAGGAAATTAATTTTATGTGTTATGAAAATTGTGTATGTTTAATGTAATAATAGATACCAATCATAACATAAAAAACATAAAACTATATAACATATGTTTAATGTAAAAATATGAACCAAATTACCAATCATAACATAAAAACTATATAACATGATTAGAAAATTTTGTGGTAATTAATTACTAGTACAATAATTGAAATGCTATATATAAATTACCTGAGACATTACTGAAGAAATAGTGTATGGAATAGGTTGAGTTGTGTCTCCTACTCCGAGTCTAATCAATTTTGCATGGGGATACTTCTTTAGATGCTCCAACTCTCGCATGCATATCTATGTTATGTATCAACAACCAGATAAGGGATGTCAATAAGCCGATGCTTTCATGATCAACTCTTGATGAGTAAACGTGGTCAAAACTCAATTGTTTGCTAAACCAAACAGGACGAAGATAAATGAGTTTATTTTAAAGTCTTAGACCAAGATTATCCCTGAATAGTGGGTCTTAAAACTTAGATTATTTATTGACATGAAATGACGCGGTATGTGTTATACTAATTTTTTAGACTTAACAAAAAGGTTTGTATGGTAGCATTAAAGTAGAAAGATCTTAGTAAAGGTTTAAATGGAGTCTTGATCGAGTTAAGACTCAATTTGTGAGTGAAATATAATTATTGGAATTAAAAAAAAAAAAAAAAACAATTTAAAATTAATTGAGATATTTTAAATTAATTTGAGGGGTGAAGTTATAATTTGGTTGAGTTAGAAGAAGGCTTGAAATTATTACTTGTATATGTTATTGAAAAGCTGATGTGGCATAAGAAGAAAGCCTTAAGATAAAACTGCGCTAATCTTACTCTTAGCTTGCTCAAACATTTAGTGTTCGACTTAAACTTTGGCATTTGATCCCTAAACCACAAAGATCTAAGGTGGGGAGCAATACCGTACTTACTTTGCTGTCTCTCCGACATTAAAAAAATAAAAATAAAAATAAAATAAAAATGAAATTATGTATACATGTAATAATTGTTCATTAGAACACACCCAAAGGACAAAGTATTCTTCTATGAGTGATAAAGCAGTACCTCTGGAAACAAATAATTGTCACGTAAATTCTCCATATTGGTATTGCGGGGTACTTTAGTCCACAAGTTTGTGATTGTTGCTGCATTTGAATGAATTCGTACGAGTAACATATTATTTTATCTACAAATTAATTAAGTAATAAATCAAATTATCAATTCTAACAAAATGACAAGATAAATTACCGTGACGTTTCATGTAGCCACACTTGCCATGCTTGGCGCTTTTTGATTTTAATAGAAAGCTGCACATTTGAACATGGATAAATAGAAGATCATATGCCATGAAATAAATTTTCCAACTTAATAAAAATGTTAATTATACCCACTAGAGCAGAAATAAAGAAAATCTCTCAAATTATCGCGCCTTGACATATTTGTAGTGTCGCGAACTCACAATAACGTATCACGACACAAATAAGCCTCGTAGATTTTATTGTAAGACCACAGAGGTAGGGATTTGAAGTGAAAAGCAATATCATTACTCCACAACCTCAAATTGGAGCATGTACTCAATACAATAGAAGTTATTTTTTGCTTAATTTCTTATTTAGAGCTTACCTAAATGAGAAAATAAGTAATTAAATAGTCTTAATCACAATATATGTACCATACAAATATGCAATCAGTTGTACAATCAAAGCTAGTCACTTAAAAGTTAAAACTAAACCTCATTGGCATGTCTTTTTAAGTGTTTTTTTTTAATATAATATAAAATTAATATGACACTTGGGCCTTGGCTCACTAATACCATATTATTAGCCAAGTACTAGAACTGATCTAACCCGCTTGAGTTGTTCGATGGGTGCTTGTACTAAAGAAGTTGCAATTTATGGGAATTTCGAATGATCAGTATTAACGGATGGATATGAGTAATTAATTTCTCATGTCTTTTGTGAAATTCTTGCTCTTGAGGAAGTTAAGCTCTCTGAATTCTCACTTTTTTATTTTCAATCAGAAACAACTAATACATCTGATAGAGTATAAAACATATTTCTGGGTTTCAACCATCATCTTAAGCTTGTGTGTCACGTTGGCTCTTGATACCATGTTAAAGGACCAACTCAACCAAAAACTTAAGCTGGTGATTGAAGCCCAGAAATATGTTTTATACTCTATCACCATCTATAAACACGCGGTGTTGAAGGTCAATCAAACAAGTACTTATTAATTTAACAATTTTGAGCTACAACACCTTGATCTAATAATATACACTATTTTTCATCAGCACAAGTACATGCTTTTCTTAGATTCTTAACATTTTTCATGCTCTAAATCTCTGCTAAAATCAATCAAATTACACAAATTAAATCTAAGTAGTATATATTATTGTGAATGACAAAACATATATAGAGATAAATGAACTACCTTGGGTTGGTGACTCTACAATGCATCAACGCTTGATAAGGCATGCAAGATTGGGTTTGCGATGAGAGGGAGATTTGATAAAACATGATTCAAAAATCAAAAGATTTGTTTTATAAAATGCTTAGTATAAGGTACTCCGTACTATTATGAAGGGTTATACAAATATACAATGATGCTATGCTTTGAAGAATTGAAGTAAAGTTTCAAAACATATTTATACTATTCAAAGTATATTTATACTATGCATAAAATTAAACAAAAAAATTTCATCTTTCTTACTAGCGTGCCATATAGTTTCAGTCCACTTTCCTTGTAAGTTTACATGCATTTCCATGTGAAATTTCATTAATGTTCATATACGGTATTTAGTGTAACAGTTTGACCAGGTATATTTCATTTGTCAATATATATGCAACCTTAATTATTAATATTTGTAATTGTATAATATTATATTTTAACCATATATACATATTCGGTTTTTAGATCTTTGTAAAAAAATTAAGTCAAACCATTATAAAATAAATAAATTGTGCAAAAATTAAAGTGTTACACTTATTCGATTTTTAGATCTTTGGAAAAATTAAGTCAAACCATTATAAAATAAATAATTGTGCAAAAATTAAAGTGTTACACTTAACAAAATAGTGCAAGTATCTTTCTTATTAGTCTCATGAAGCTAAATTTATTTTGGCCCCACTAATTGATACTTTGTGCGTCCAGTCTCAATCTAGTTATCTAGTATACCTATCCCACACACAATGCAAACCCTCCATAAGTACATCCAAGTCTATGATTTTTTTTTTTTTTTTCTTTGGTGACCAAATTATTGTTATTTTAAAAAGAAAAAAGAAAAAAATCAAACTCTTACCTGTTACAATTCGACAAACTTAGAAATGTTAAAATATTTAGTTTAATTTATATAATTTGATACTCTCTCAATTTTTTCTAGACTACTCGAGTACTCCGTTACTATAGCAACAAAAGTCAAGAAGAAGTCATAAGGGAACCATTTATGTAGATACTTTTGCTTTTAAAAAGAGATAGATCAATTAAGAGAATAAACAACTATAATTTGTGTCACAAAATGTGGGATGAAAGATGTTAAAATATGAATAAGAGGTTGACATAATCAATCATCAATCAACCAAGCAATAACATAATACTAAAACAAACACCAGGAATGACACGTGTCAATTCCTGATGTATTTTTTTTCCCTCCAAAAACACCACTTTCCTTTTTTGCTAAAATATTCTTTGAGAAGTTTAGTATAATATAACTATCATAATATTATTCCAAATCTTTTGTACGCATCTTTTATAATAAATATTTTCCTTTATACCTATTACTTCGTATCCCATATCTTTTAATAATAGGACAATATATCATAATAAATATTACTATGTATGTCATCTTTAATACATCATATTTTATTCCTTTAATTGATTAATATATTGTAAATAAGATAATTTTGTATCAATATTTAAAATGATGACTCTATTAAATAATAAATTCGTACTACATAAAATTATTATTATTAGTATTATTATTATAATAAAACAGACATTTTGATTTTTTTAAATACTATAATTGGTTTCTCGCCTAATTCTAATACGAATGAAAAACAAAACGAAGGGAGTTTAACAACATAGCGTAACATTATAAACAATTTATCTATGCATGTAATTATGTAAGAAAATTTGACTAATTAAAATTTAATTCTTTCTTATTTGTATCTCCAATACTTTCACATATTATCATATATTAGGAAAAATTAAAAATTAACCAAATATCATTAAATTGGAGTTATAATTCCTGCAAATTAGGTGTATGTAATACATATATAATTTTAAATACTCATTTGGTTGATAAAAAGAAAATTGATACTAATTTATCATTGAATTTTTAAAACACCTATATGGTCGTCTAACATGTAATTTAAATATACTCATTTGTCTAATCGATTCTTTTGTTATATTTCATTTCATTATATATGCACAATAAGAAGAGAATAAATATGGTATAGTTGTATTTTATCTATTTTATATTAAATACAATTATTTTCTTTTATTGATTAAATGTAGTATAATTACCGTGCATGGCATGAGACCCATTCTAGCTGGAATAAAATAAAAGTGAGTACTGTAACAAAAAAAAAAAAAAAAAAAGTGAGTAAAAAAAAAAAAAAGGAGGAAATTAAAAATGAAAAATAAAAAAGTGAGTTGAACTTAGTGAAACGGATGGAGTATTATTTGCTTATCTCAAAAATAATCAGATCAAAACAAATCTTTTTTTTTTTTGGGGGGGGGGGGGGGTTGGGGGGACAAATCTTATTTTTTATTTGCTTTATTAATCTTTGAATTTTTATTTTTGTAACTTAATGATATGAAATTTTAACATTTGGAAGTGCATATTAATATGAACTTAATAACATCTCATTTTAACAATTTTTAATTTTATGGATTTGTGTAAAAATAAATTTAAAATTTGGTCAAAATAGTACAATCAGATCAAAGCAAATATTATACTTTCTCCGTTTTTTATAGTTGCAACAGTTTGACTTTTGCACTATTCATGTATTTTACTTTGACTAGCTAGCTTTGATGATTTATAATTAAGCAAAAATTTAGTCATGTAGGATCTTGTTAGATTCGTCTCGATTTATACTATTTTAATATCAAATGTTTATAATTTTTACATATTGACAATTAAAAATATTAACGATTGAAATCATGCATCGACAAGCATAAAAAAGGAAGTGTTGCAACTAAAAAAACAGAGAAATTATTATTTTTACTCACAAAAGCATAGGGAGTAGTAAATTAGTGGATTTATATATTATATCCGCATCCTATATACTTCGTATTATATTAATGGATTTATATATTATGTCCCCATCCTATTATTACTTCGAAGTACCCCACTATTTACATCAAGCTTCCAAGTTCAATTCACATGACTAAATTAATGTACACGTATTACTCACCTTTCCACTCAAATAATATTTTATGGAAAACATTAATCTTACATATCCACTAATTATAGATAGTAAGCAATAATTTCTTTATCATGAGAATATGAGATTCATGACTACTATTTGTAGAAAGTTATTTTCACGTACAAAGAAAGTTATGTAGTAAAGACAGATGTAGTAAGGAATTTCATATCTTGTTAATTTTCTAATATGGACTACATACTCCTAAACGCATGTAGATACTATCTTATTAAAGTAATCAATATCTTAATGGATAGTACAACAATCACACTATTATATATGCATGCAATTATATATTACCTTCGCTCCATAATAACTTACACAATAGCATACTTCTTAATAATGCACTATTTTGAGCTTAATTTGAAATAATTTCTCCTTCCAAGCTTTTATAATTTTTCCCTTTTTCGTTTTAAAAAGTTCAAAAAGTTCTTCCCATTTAAAATCTTTTCATATATTTATTCAAAAAAAATAAAATTCATACATGGTAGGTAAATATTTTCATTCAATTTTTCTTTATATATATGGTCAATGTATGAGAGTGAGGGATAGCTCAAGTGGTTAGAGTTGCCCTTCCGGTTGGGGTGATTCTGAGCATGTGCAGGGTGGTCGATCGCACAGGACCCCTAAGTGAAAACTATAAAAGGGCCCTAATATTTGAAATTTACTTATACAAAGTAAAGGGATAACTTGTTAATCAATAATCTATTCTTCAATTTTATCATAAAATTTATAATTTAGTAAAATATTTTTCCTTAAAGAAATGATTTTAGGGCCCAATATAACAAAATTGCACCGGACCATTTTCAGTGTTAGCATTTGTAGCCCCGCCTCTGCCTCCCGATTCCAGATAATATTGGGATCAATTCTCATCACTTGCCCTTGTGGCTCTCTTAGCACCCAAAAAAAAATGTCAATGTGCCAAACTTTATTACTCGTACAATTTTTTTTATACAATTTCTCATTGATTGAATTTTTTCATGTATGATTTTAATTTTTAATTATTATTCTCTGTTCCTGAATAACACATTAATTATCTTTTTTCTTCTTTTTCATTTTCGTTGTACATATTTTGTTCCGCAAAGTTAGAATATGTTATGTAAAGTAAAAAAATTAATTACTCTAATGGTTTCTGCAATCTCATTGATTTTCTTTTCTTAATTTCCTTCTCCATTTCATATGGGAAGAACCAAAAAACAAAAAAGGATTGAATGGAGTAAATGTTAGTGAAAATTACAAAAAAAAAAAAAAAAAAAAAAAAAAAAAAATGATATTATATGACACTTTAGATTAATATACATTTATCAACATTTTACATAATCACATTTGCTTTACTTACAATAAATTAATGCAAATGGTGTAGTAAAAAATAACACATGGATGGTGAAAAAAGTCATCATATGTCAATTATTATAGAGCATTGGAAGTTTTTTTTTTTGGTATATAGAATAGAATGAGTATATATAAAGTATATATTATTTTTATAATTGAGGTTACACAAATTTTTATATGTGGCTGATCACATCGTGTAACTGGCCACACCGTGTGGTCGGGGTTACTTATTCGAGGATTATTTATTGTGGGGTAACTTATTCAGGGGTTACTTATTTAGTCGGTCATGGGTTACTTGGTGGGGTTACTCTCACACAGAAAACGCACTAACCAACTGAGTAACCCCAAAATAAGTAACCCTTGACCGACTGAATAACCCCTAAATAAGTAAGTCCGGCGAAAACATGCTAACCGGCTGAGTAACTCTAGAATAAGTAACCCTGGACAAATTGAGTAACCTTAGAATAAGTAACCTTTGATTGACTAAGTAACCCCTAAATCAGTAACCCCTAAATAAGTTGCCCCTTTATAAGTAACCCCGGCCATGCGATGTGGTCAGCCACACAGAAAAAGCACCGTTTAGGTTTGAGTGATAAAACCAATTTTTTTTTTTTTTTTTTTTTAGGTAAAAACCATGTGCCAATGTAATAATTCTTAACCTTAAAATTTTTCAATTTATTATAAAATAGTTGTATTCAGTCATAGGTCGCTCAGGATATAAGCTAGTATAATATATTAGCTTATCTTAACCAATTAAGAGTAGTGTATAATCAAACAAAATCAAATTAAAAAAAACAAGTGTTGTAATTAATCTGAAATGAATGTAGTAGAGAAAACTTATGTTGTGGGAATGGA